AGAACAGGTTAACATGTGCCCTAACAAATCCTTTAAACATAGTTGAATAGAAGTGTGATACAGGCATACAAATGAATGAAGCTAAACCTAAGTTGCAACATGAGTTACAAATTTCTGGTGAAATACCACAGCACTTCACAGAGAATGAGCGTAACATTTTTAATACACAATTTATTAACTCTGAATACTGACAAGATGAGAGGAATACCAGTCCTTTCTCAGGATAAAAGAAAATCATTAGGTAGGTAGCAGTCTAAATATACTCAAGGTGGCCCGGAATTAGCTGAAATTATTAATAATCCTCAGCAACATGCTGCCCCATTTTGCCAAGAACTGCTGCTAGAGGAGCTGGCTGCATCTTCATCAGAAGAAGCTCCCAAACTGCCAGTTTATGCCAGCATAATATAGGAAACCAGAACTGACACCCCTTTAATACTCAGGGAAGAAACAGGTATTTCAGGAGATTAATTGCATGTAATTTAGCTGCCCTTGTCACGATACAGCCAAGCTAAAGCAGGGCAGAAACCTGTATTATTAGCACTTGGAGATTACTGCAGGTTCCTGCTTTTAAAAATCAATATACTATGAAGCAAAAAACACCTGAAAAAAAACACCAAAAGGAAAAAAGCTGAAAACCTACATGAGTTAGCAGAAATAAAGGATTAGCTAAACACTTGATAGTGATTAATTAGGCTAAACTCCCCTATTTTCTCCAGGCACTTTTTCAGAACAAAGTTCATTCCCTACCTCCCTCTGCCCCAGTCCAAAACACTAATCTCCCATGCTATTTGTTATAATGAATACTCCTGTGTTAAACCTAAGAAATATAAACCCAAGATTTTGGACTGTCATAAAGAAAGAGGGTCTCCCAAAAGAAAGATGATGTAGATGTGTAGTTGTTTCCCTTTCAAAACATCTGTGCTGTTCAATCGCACAATTAAGAAATAACATGCATATATTTTTGGTTTTACCTTTTTCCTTAGAGAGATAGTAATTTTAAAAAAAGTATAAATTTGGGGGGGGGGGGGGGGGGGGAAGTGATAGACCGACTTCGTGGATACCTGGTGTTTAGCCAAAATCAAACCACCGCAGATCCACAGAGTTAAAGCCTTTTGAAAAGCCACAGTTTAACTAGTCCCTGCTAGATCTGTTCAAACCTCTGGGATCTGACAAAACTGGAGGGGAGATTTAAGAGGAGTACTAAGTGGTGGGAGGATATCAGGAGGCATGACGAACTTCTCTTGTCAAGTGCAGGGTATAACATGGTAGCTAGCCTCTGTGAAGCAGCAGCATGTTTGGGAGGAGGAATCTAACCTTCACTACAAAACTTCAGAAATAGACTGTTTCAGACTTCAGAAAAGTGTCACTTATAGCCAGCATGGGCTACGAGATGAAACCAAATGTTGAGGCGTACTCTTCTGCAGGACTGCTTCAGTTTAGGGAACACACTCAGCAAATAGAAGACTATCTACCATAAGACAATGTCGAGAACATCCACTCTGATACAACCCAGTGCTGTCACTTCACTTATGGGCCTTCGGGAGCATAATCAATGATAACATGTTGGCTGAAAGGTTTGCTTCATGGCATTCAGTCCAAGCAAGGACTTATAACCGATGTTTTGGAAGTGCAAAACTCCAGAGACAACCAATCACATCTCTACTAATAATGCCCCTTCTCAGCTTCTGGTGATGTGCAGCTAGAGGATTTCCTGGATCAGAAGCTTTTTGTATGTTTAATGGACTCTAGTGAATCATTCTCCCACTGAACTGCCTAACTGCTCTTGATACCTATTTCACCTTGGTCATCCATTACAATAGCAGTCATCCCCACAGTTCAGTTGCAGCCATATGGAAAAAGTTCCTTTCACTTAAATCTGTCTCTTTCTAGGGAGACTGAAGCTCCTTAAAATCTTTTACTATCAAAGCAAAATAAAAAAAAAAAAAAAGTTCGTTATTCACATTCTACATGCTGTTCACTTTCCATAGAAGGCTTTTCCCTAAAACATTCATGACTGTTATTCTTCTCTGTACTTTTCTTATTCTATTACCCACTTTGAGATAAGGAAAGGAGAGGAAAAACAAAATTCAATATTCAAATTATATCAAAATGCAGACGTAAAGTGTTGCATGACAGTGTCTATTTTGCTTTCTATTTCCTTCCTAGCAGCTTCTAATTGTCTAGATGTTTAGTTCAAGTGCTAGAAAAAAAATAGATCAAATATTTTCAGCCTTCAAAAAACTGAACTGTGGTAAAAATATTTAGACTGAAACAGTACCAACATGTTCTGCACCATATTCTGCATCTTATCTTGGAATAGAGAAGCCTTTGTTTCAGATCTGGACTTTATTTGATTTGGATCATAGTTTGGTGTCAGGCAGAGTAGGGGCTCATGACTAATAATTCTGACCACCTGTGAACCCCAGGTCATGAAATACAAAACAATGCACTGGGAAAAAAAAAAAAAACAAAAAACAAACAAAAAAAACCCCACTGTTTAAGCATATGTCTCCAGAAGTTGTTCTTACCCAGATACAGCAGCACAGTACACAGCAATGAAATTTAATTTAGATGAAAACGTCTGAACCCACTATAAACTATCGTCACTACTTTGCACCGGTGACCACTGCTAACATTCTCCATGTAGTCAACTCAGGAAGGATGGTAGAAAAATTGAAGAACTTCCAGAAGCAGCATCCCACGAATATTAAGAGAATAGCCTCATAGTGAAAGCCTTGGAACTTAAGTTGGCCTATCACCATACTAGGCTATAACAGAAGTTAAAAAGGCAAAGACCAGTCAAGTTAAGCGCATATAGGGAATGCTCAAGTGTGACAATAAAGGCTTCTTCAATACAGCAGAAAGATAACAGATGACCCAATAACAAACAATGAACCTAGATAAAGTCAGATTTAATAAGATGCCTATTTACCATTTAAAGGTAATCACCTTAGTAAAAATTGGGAAGGTTTTTGCATTGTCAAAAGACAAAAAAAAAGAAGAAATCTGTTCACATATGCTAGATTACTTACCCACAACCAATGCAGGTGAACTAAGATATATGATCACCTTGAACAGTTGTCACTAACAATTGCCTCTCCTGACACTCATATCAGATGGTATGACCATAGGCAGTTCATATTTTGGTCACTTCAATTATTTGCTTTCCTTTGTACTTTTCCTCATCCTTAAAAAAGGCCTCTACTGTTTAAGCACTTTATTTCATGAATATGAAAGTAATTGCAGTGGCTTTATGCAGGAGTACTTCTGGAAATCTTAGAAATCTAATGCAACACGCACTTATGGTAGCATAAAGACAAGACAGAAGAAAACATCATCCCAAAGGAAGAAAATTGACTTTTCTATCCCTTCCATCATTACAGAAATCGATGATTTTTTCATTAAAATTCTCAGTGTCAGGATTGTTAACAAATCTCAGAAAAATGTTAGGAAAACAGTTGTCATCTTCACTTAGGAAATCAATCATCTGCAATACACTTCATTAAGTTTTTATACTACAAGCTTTATGCCAAAATGATTTGCTATTACATAAAAGCACAAATGGTAACTTGCACACTAGAATGCACTAAAAGTATTTTGGGGATTCATCTCAGACAGTTAACATAATCAAACAATTAAATCCCAGTAGCCACTGAAATACTGGGACATGTTTCTTATCATTGCACACCCTATATCTGAAAGACTTTAAATGTATTTTTAGTGGTTGTCTTTCACACAGTTAAATACTGTTTTGATTTATCCTGGAGTCAGGGAACACAGCAATTAAAAAAAAAAAATTAAAAAAAAAAATCTGTATTTTTAATACTGTGTTAGAAATTCAGAGAAAGTAAACTCTTAAAACACCTGTCAGCTACATCACAGCACTAAAGAGCATTTATTTCCATTCATGCTAAAGCATATGTAAACTTTAGTAAAATTAAGTAAAATATATTGCAATATTGAAACAATTTATCTTAAAAATATATTGTTACTCTTTTGAGATCTAGCTTGTTTGGTTGAAATTCCAGTACCTATGTTATACAGAAATTACTGAAAAATTGCCAAACTCTTTAATTAAAAATAACATATGATAAAAGTCAATACTTAAATGCTACTGGTTTTACTGCTATTAAGTTCACATTAAAAAGGCATATTTTTTTTTTTTCTAAGTGAAAAATCACAATGTAAACATACTCTACCACTGTGCAATTCCACTCCATAGAATTCAAGTGTTCGTGCTATATTTATGTAGCAGGACTCTGCTTCAGATTGCTTGAGGCCACTAAAGAGGGGAAAAAAAAAAAGTGGACCATAGTCAAAAATAAAAGACATGATATTTATTCCAAATGCAGAAAACCAGAAGAATCCCACAGCCCAGTATCTGACAAATCAACCTCATTAACTAGTGCCATGAGTCCAACACTGGTGAAGGCCCTCCCAAACTCCTCAAAAATAGAGCAAATTATACACAATATTACCTTAGCCATTCTGAACTGGTTCTTTTCAGAAAAGTCATTTGTATCTGTTTTGTTTAAAGGAATGAGAAAACAAATCTGCCAGAAAAGCTTCCTTTATAACAAGAAGCTGTATCTATAAATATTATATATTGCATAGTATCTCAGAAGGAATTAATTTAGAAGAAAGATTAGAAGCAGTAATGTACTAAAAAAATAAGGGGGAGAAAATAGATTGAATAAATTAGTGATGAAACTCACCAAGGAAAAGCCATCTGAGTTTACCTACAATCTTTAAGTCCTAAAATACTTTTCTCTCCTGCTGCTAGATGTGAAATGTGCTGCCAGCCTTAGATGGATTCTATCTTCTGGTTTTCTAGAAAGCTTCTATATTCCTGAGACTTTTTTTTTCCAGAGAAAAAAAAAACTTAAAATCCCCACACATCAGACAGATTATGTATCTTCATGGAAGTGTGACATGGAATCTACTAGGAGTTTTAAAAAACAAAGAATCAAACAGTAATCCCTACCTAGCTGGTTCTCCCATGCAGTCTACTATTTAGTGATCTGAGAGGAATGCAACGTGGCCTAAACAAGATTCCTTTAGGCATGACAATGAAAGAAGCCCCTTCCAATAAACTGTAGGACCAAGACCAGTCAAGAACCAATTAGACCAGAGGCAGCTCTAACCTGGAATCTGCTTTAGCCTACTGACATTGTGCTGTGCCCACAGTGATGCTGGTCTCAACACAGATCAGTGATTCAGGCATTCCAGCGTGTTTGAGTAACTGTAAAAACAGAATCTGAGGGATGTGTGTTAATATCTACACATCTCTAAGTAGAAAAGACATCTGATGTCATCCTATAATATCTGCAACTAAGTGCAGGTAAAAACTCTTTGCTAGGTGAGCTTTCAAAAATGACAGGCATAAAACTACGCTAACCAAATGCAAAAACAAGCTATAAAAAGCTGACATAACACTGTGTTATGCTAAGAACTCCAGATACAAAAGCATTCCACAGAAGTCAGTAATTATAATTTTTAAAAGGGGCTTTACCTCAGAAGGTGGACATCTATTACTTCCAATTAATATCCATCCTTTCAAATTCCAGGCCATCAAAATACTATGCCCTGAAACAGCCACTCTAGGAAATTTTACATCATACTCCACGAAACTGAAAATTACCTTCAACTGGAAAGCTATTGCCAACAGTGTGGCTTGAGGATGCCACAAAATTGGAAAAAAAAAAAAAGAGCAAAGACAAAAAAAACAGCTGTTTTTCACAATCCTGAGAAACTGCTTACTCAGATCTACATCTACAGTGACTGTCACCTTGATTTTGAAAAACACTGCTAGACCTTATCTCTTTCACTGTGTCAGAAAGGTAGAAGGGAAAAAAAAAACCACACCACAAAATGGCCATTTTATTATACAACAGGATACTGAATATGTTTGCAAGAGCACATTATTTTCACTTTTAAATTTTGATCAAGAATTTTGCTCAGAAAATGGGGCATGTCTGTTGCATACCAAACAAGATATGCTTGAAAATTTTAATTCTCAATTTGCATACACCATCTACACCAGACCAATCAAGCCTTCTGTCTCAAAGGGCCAACGAGAAAAAGAAAGTATCTCAGCACAGACTTTTTTTTTTTCTTGTTGGGTTACACCTCTACTCAATTAGAGATTAAATGAAACCCTGAGGTCTCTGAGCAGGTGGCAGTTAGTTGGCAAGATAAACAGGCAAGAGGAAACCAGTCTTGGTGTCTCTTTCCAATTTTTATAGCTGTTGATACCCAAGGGCTAACAAACATCATCTGGAATTAAAGCATCATATGAAGTTTCAAATGCATCCTTCTCAAACTGATGGCTAGATCTAGCAAGGACTACGAAAACATTACCAATTTAGGTAATACCTACATCCGAAGACCTCAGGCTGGTTATGTACTAAGCAGAAACCAGTAAGAAAACCTTGTTAAAACAAACTACACAGAAAAATCCCACCATGGATTTAGGTATGAACACAGAAAATTTCTGGAGTTATACCTGTTCAATACAACAGTTGCTCTCTCAACAGCTACTTACTGTCCACTAAATAGAGTCCAATATGAACATGTTCATAGAATTATTTCAACATACTACATACAAGCCAATACTTCTGTACTACAACATACAAGACATAACACAACTTCTCAAGTCTGTATGCATGCTTCAGCAATTTCAGCCATTTAATTTTTCCTTTGTGAAAGTTTCCCAAAGGACAGAAATAAAAAATGAAAAAGGACAAACGTTTATAGGGCTTACTTCGCAATCCTGTAATCTGAGAAAGACAATTTAAAAGGGATAATAATTTACAGATATCCCGTATGGTCTACAGCAAATATTATTTACTCCAGATCAGCAGAAATCTCATTCCAAAACAATGCTGTTCTCCTCAAAGAAGATAAATGTTCCCTTTCTGCCTTTCCTTCTCAGAAGGCCTGCTGAACACAAGAAGCATTCTTATCAAGTATGTTACTGGCACTGATCTAGTCAAAACCATGTCTCAGATATAAGTATTCACTATGAATGCCAAAGAAGGATGCAAGAAATACTGCCAGGATATTCAATAATTTGTCTGCCTCTCACTGCACTCCAAAATAAATAGGCCTGAAGAGCTAAGTTTCAAAAAAGGTGTTAATAAACAAGTATTTTTCCCAGTCCAGTCTACTCAATTCTTTTTACTCAGAACTTCAACTACCACTACCTAAGAGAATTCAAATACAGCAGATAAACTTCTCAGTCATCAAGGCTTCACTCTACCAAAAACACTCAATGAAAGCATCAGTTTCACTGAAAGGACCCAGAAAATAAAGGAGTCTTTCCAACAGACCCCACCACACCTTCGGCTAGACCAATGTTAACTTCTAGTCTTTCCTCTGCAGGATACACCCAAGCTTATAACTCTGGATACAACAGTCCTAAATACATGAGCTCAACCCAACCGCCTCAAGACTCTTCAGAATGTTCCCTCAGTGGTCTCCAAGATGATTACTACCCAAAACCAAGCAAATTTATTTATGTCTGTCTACAAATCTCCCTCTAAAAACTTTTGAACCCATGGGAAACTGCAAATTCATTTGGAAAGGGTAGAGGACTCAGCAGCTGTGTTCCTGAACATGAACTGCTAGGAAAGCAGTCCAGGTTAGTACTTACACAGAGGGAATGGCTGCAGTTAGAATTCAGTGATTATCTATCTTTTTCCCCATAAATGACAAAGCAACATGTGTGTTCTGGACTGTTAGGCAGCACACATGAAGTTCAGAACTATGAACTACACCCACTAGCAGTAAAGAAACAAGAGGGAGAGGTGAGAGTCCTGAAAGATTACAAAGAAGTGGAGGAATATCAGGAGAGATGAAAATGGAGGTATTTCACAGTATAAATCAAAAAAACTAGGAAAGGGGAGAACCAAATTGGCTGCAGTAAAGATACAGACAGAAAGAAGTCCACAGAGATTTGGATTTCATCTGCTCAGATGCTCATAGATAATTTCTTAGGTTGGCATATTTGCATTCAGCTTGCGAGCACCTGATCAACACCATAATTCTAAAGCTGCAGTCTTATAAGAGACAAATCAGCAGGGTCAGAAGGAGTAATTAGCAGCAGACTGACTAGAATAATCCGTTGTAGCCTTTATATTACACTCAGGAGAGTGGAGAGACAGCACAATGTTAATTGAAGTACTTAATGTTTTTTTTTTCCTCAGACAAAAAACATACAGGATTTGAAAAAAGGTCAAATATCCTTGATTCAAAAAAATCCTCAAACATCTAATACAGCATTCTATATGACTACCATTAATAACATATAATGCACACTGATCTACTGATTGTTAGAGCTAGAAATTTATTTGAACATTTTAACACATTGGCATCATACTCTGAATATGATTAATCTAGCACCTACATGATAAAAACAAGTATTTCACTTAATAGAAGCTATATGAAATAAAACTGTCTGTTATACTGAAACTATCAAGAACATAAGTCTTACTTTTAGTATCTTTTTTCTCTTTAAAAACACAAGAGGTGAGAGAACTAAAAGATAATGTTACCTGTGTTGCTCATGTAGGGATTCTACTTTGGTAAGAAAATCTTTGTTCTGCTCTGGTATAAAGTTGTAATTTGACAGATATCCTGAAGGATGTACTGAAGCATTATAATCTCCAAGTTGTGCTGTTAGGAAACAAGAAACATATGCACAAAGTTTTCATAGTTAATTCATTATTATTATTATTTGGAAGGAATTACTTCTCCTCATTAAAACATGTACACATACAGGGAAATGCAGGAATTACTAAATTATTTCCCAATAGACAAGCAGTGTTGAACACAGGGAATTGTATGACATCAGTGAAGAAAATTTTTTTTACAAAATACGCTTACCATTACTATAATCTCAGGCACTGAATGACTCAGTACTTTATTTAGTTATTTATATAGCCCCTCTTCTGCATCACAGGCTCTAACACCACCAGACAGGCATTACATGCCACGTTGGCATAGATGTGCAGTACTGTAACATTAGAGGAAACCAAATTGCTTCAGTAAGAGACAGCAAATAAAAATCAATTTGATATACATTTATGTGACTATAACATATTAGCAGTCTTCAGCAAGATTTGCCACTTAGAAAGCATCTACTATTCACACTGTCAGGTAAAAATTGTTCAAACCACCAACTGTGACTCTGTTCTAACAATTCAATTGTTAATCTTGCCTCAGCTGAACATGATTTACTTAACAAAGTGTGAGAAATAACTGCTGATTTGCACATAACATTACCAAACTGCTATCAAAAGTAAATACATGCTTACAGTCAAATAAACTAAAAAATGAAATAAATTCCCTAAAACTTTGTCCCTTCAAAAAGGATACTAATTAGTAGATATTTTAAAATAGTTACTACATAAAAGCTAATTCTTCTCCACAGTTGGTGGTATATCTGAAAAGAAATGAAAATATAAATGACCATGAATTTATAGCCTCAGTCTATGCAAGTTTCCTTTAAAAGCTGGGTCAACATAAGTTTATACTCTGGAACACATGCACAACCCTTTTACTTGTCATAAAGATGCAAGGTTTGGGGCAGCAGGGAGATTGCTTCAAATAAAGTACTTGCCTATTTGCCACAAATTTACCTAATTTCAATTAAGCAAGTAATTTAAACCCCATATTTAAGGAAATCAGTGTTTTCATAAAATAGTTGAAGAGATTAAACCCAAAAAATGATGGTATGTTTAAGCAAATCACTAGAACCTGTACTAATCTACTTTTTCCCTAAAGAGCATGAAATAGTTCTACAAAGCATTAAAGCTTCCCAGAAGGTGTTTGTATAAGAAAAAAAAGTACTTGTATGGACTGCAAACAATTCAGCACAGAAAGCCCCTCAACTAACTCAAAGTTAAGGAGCATACTTTTAGGAACAATACTATTGCCATTCTTTTCCAGAAAATGCAAAGTATAAAAGAGTGATTTAAATAATTCAGGTTGAGGGGGCAAGGGGAAGTCGTAGAGTTCAGAAATAACTTACAGCTACAATAACTATGGATTATCTGTAATGCAGGGGATAACTATAATATTCAAAAATATTCACTTACGTATTCAAAAAGCATGATTTCTATGGCCTAGAAAACAGTACCACTGTGATACAAAACAATTCCCAGACAAATTAGGTCAGAAGCTCATACAGCTGCATACTTAATTGTCAGCATCAAGGAAAATACTTAAATAAAACAAAATGTGGAGTGATAAACAGTAAGTAATTTATACTAAAGGCAGACACTCCTGCAATGTTTAGCCCTTTCTTTTTAAAGGTAGCCTGAATTTTAAATTAGTTAACCAAATGGCTGGCAAAAGACAAAATATTTACCATTAGAACCAAAACACATTTGAACACTCTTGTCAAATAATAAGGAAACAAAACAAAAAAAAAGAGACAGAAGATCCAGAAGTATTACAAGAAACTAACATAATTTTTAAGAACACCTATATTAACAAAAGTCTAAGTCTCTGCCAAGACTAAGGATAAGACAGTAACATTAAAAACAAAAAATAAAACAAAGTAGGTATGTTAATAACAGCATAAAAAGAAAACATACAGTTTAAAGATGACTGTAGTTGATTGAAGACTTTTTGCTTTATTAGCCATTAACACAACCCATCCTTTCTATGAAACATAGTTTTATTTTTAAAATTTGTTGCAGCTAGCTTGAATTACATTCTTGTCAATGGGAAGAGACTAGATTGCCAGAAATCAGACAATGCAATTGTCCATTTCAATTTATTTGCATTAGGTAAAAGTATTTTTTACTGTAGTTTTACCTTCTCTAAAAGGGGGCAACTGCTGTTCCTTCATGCATTATGAGGTAGAGTCTTCTTGCTCATCTTCCAAATATGGAGGTTGCTCTGGTCTTTTTTCCTCTTCCTCCTAGCTACCTGAGGTCACGTCAACAAGGGGAGCAGTTTAGAGTACTACTTGCTTTGCCAACTCCTCAGCCAACTGTCATGGTTGAAGAGAAACTATAAATGCTGATTAGCAGACATCATGGAAGACTAATGATCTTTTGCAGGATTTAATTATCCAAGTAGGGAAAAAAAGTTAGGGTATATCAAGACCTCAGTTAGAAGGAAAACCCATGAGGTTTCCACCTCTTTACTGGATTTCTACAGAAGAGAGCAAAGAGACAGGAAATATTAAAGACCTATTTCTAATCTGAGTTTCTCCTGACATAGCTTCTGCTCTAATCACATGATCCAGCAGATATTGACTCAGTAAGGATAAAGTTACAGTAAGAAAAAGCATATTTTCACATTTCTCCATTCTAGCCAACTGTTGCTCTTTGTATTCTTTCCAAACTATAATGAATTAGAGTAAAATGAAAGAAAATTAAACCAAGGAGAAATTTTAAAAAGTTACTTGACTACTAGATTCTTACATTTTAGAATTCCATATCTAATATGAAAGGCTTTAAAGAAGGGCACATGACAGACCATTCATTTAGAAGTCCTCAATAAAAAGAGTACATTTATTTTCTAACTCTTCATAAAGAAGAGTGCAATAGCCAAGCAGCCACAGAATATATTTCCATGTATGAAGTTCCATGTTGACCCTACCAAAACAGTAGTTTTCAAAGCTCTCAATACAGTAAGAATTTAGAAATGCTTGAAAAACAAATAAAAATCTTGAGATCATATATGTTTACACAGGATATCAACCATCTTCAGACTTTTTAAAAAGCATTTGTTCAGTTAGAACAACGTGGTGCCTACATTTTCTCAGCTCTTTCTCCTGGCAGCAGAAAGACTTTTGTGCAGGAAAGCATCAAAGGACATAACTAATTAAAATAAAAAAAAACCAACGCATTTTTATATGATTCAGATACAGAGGAAGGGAACACCAGGAACAAGTATTTGTGTAGCACTGATAGATTTCAGTAGGAATTCTATGGGTACACATGCATCTTGCCTAGAAAGAGAAGCTCAAGTACCAGACATTGCTGCATTAAGGAGGAAAAACACACAAAAAAAAGGAAAAAAAAAAATAGTTTTGTAGAGGGAACAGCTGACACATATGGAAGCAAAAAAAGCCATTGATGCCAACAGCTCTTACAGTAATTAAGGCTTTGTTTATTCAGTAGTTTCTTCCAAGAAACCATTGGTCAGTTGGTTAATATATTAGGTTAAGGCAGCACTGATCTCATTTCTGTCTTCCACTACTCCAAATGAAGGCTGCAATAAAGACAGACCCAGACTCTTCTTTGAGTTGAAACCAAAAGGATGACAGACAGCAGAAATTTCAGCACTGCAAATTCAAAACTGAACTAGAAAGGCCTTGAGCAACCTGATCTGACTTTGCAAAAGACCCTTCCAACCTGAACTTACCTGTGATTCTTACTCACATAAAGTTATTTTTGACATCCAAGTTTTCTGCTACATGACTAAGATAATTATTTGTTAGGCACTAGTTTTAGAAATTAATTTTGTTGTTGCTTTTGAATGCTAAAAGTACCAAAATACCACCATTTCAATCTGGCACAATTTCCACAGGCAGCCTCAGAAAACATAATAGCAGAAAAGGTAAGACTTTAGCTTTTTATAACTTAAAGGGTGACTGATTTCTACTTCCCATGTACGTGATATCTGTCAAGGTACAGAGGACAAGTTGGTCTCCAATTCTACAGAGTTCCCTTGTGAATCATCTAGGTTGGAAAAGACCTTGAAGATCATCCAGTCCAACCATTAACCTAGCACTGACACTTCCCAACTATACCATATCCCTCAGCGCTATGTCGACCCTACTCTTGAACACCTCCAGGGATGGGGACTCCACCACCTCCCTGGGTAGCCCATTCCAACATCTAACAACACATTCTGTAAAGAAATGCTTCCTAATATCTAGTCTAAATTATTAAAAATTTATAATTTCTAATATCTAGGGTTAATGATTTAAAAAAATGTTGCATATGAAGTTATAGCACCAGAATCTATTTCTGTATATGGACATTCCAAGTAACTACAGATGTCAGAAGGCAAATGGATGAACAGTTCATTGGCTAAGCATGATGGACAATCAGTTATAGACTGTATTTGGTCCAACAGAATGCCTACAAGTTTTGAGAACAGGTTTAATATCAACTTTCTAAAGATCCAAGAAGCATAAAAGAAAAAAATTCAAGTAGCTTCACACTGAATTCGTAATTTTTTGCAGGGGCGAATATTTTAGGTGACATGAACAAAGCACAAAAGTGGACTGAGTTGCCTGATTTTAAGAGGATAATTACATACGCAGATCAGGTTCCCAGTGGAACAGAAAATAATCAATGGGTGAAGTCTGGTGTAGAAGTTATGTAACTAATTTAACTTTTATCAAGGAGCAAAAAAAAGTGATTGCTTCTTGGCACAAATAGGGAACAGAAGAAAGATGATGCACTGCATAGTATAAACTAAAGCAGTTACTGTTGCTCAACAGTAAATACAAAGTATTAAGGTATGAAAATGTTTCTGGAATCAGAAAATAATCCACTACAACAGAATTCAGTTTCAAAGAACGAGACACTAAAAAGGAGCACTGAAATGAGCAAAATCCACATAGATGTAGAGATTCAAGACAACATACTGAAAATTATTAGAAACACACTCCAAAAAGGACCAAAACTCTCATAAGTGAATGTTGA